GGAACAACAAAATGAAAGCTTTCCAAATCAAGACTTTTAATAACATTCACACTTGCTGCAGACTTTTTAGAAACAAGAGGGCAAGTAGGGATTGGGTTGCAAAGAAGTTAGAAAAAAGGCTAATAACACAGCCGAACATGACAAGGGATGAGGCCTACGACCACATGAAAGAGGAGTACAAAGTTCATGTCCATTTGAAGAAAGTGACCAAAGCACTTCAGAAAGCCAAGGTCAAAATAGAAGGGTGTGAAAAAGAACAGTATGCAAAATTGGGACTTCTATTGAGAAGCAATCCTGGCTTCAAGTGATCAGGCCCTTATATTTCTAAGTTGTACATTTTTCTGGATGGATGCTGGCTGCAGGCCCTTAATTGGTTTGGATGGATGAACAAAAGTTTCTATGTCATTGCATATGCAGTTGTTGATAGTGAAACAAAAGAGAACTGGAAGTGGTTTTTAACCCTGTTACAGGAAGACATTGGCCCTCACGCAGTGTTTGGATGGAATTTTATTTCTGACCAACAGAAGGTGTGTTAAGCTTGTTTCATTTGAACTTGCTTTAGTATTCAGCCACATATTTGTTTGCTGATTTTTTTTCTTCAGTCAATATACATTTGGTTATTGGTTATTCAGTTATTTGTTGAATGATTTTTTTCTGCTGTTAGTTACCTGCTTATTAGTTATTGGTTTTTTTCTATTTGCATTCAGTGTATTGCTTATTGGTTTAAAAGCCAATGCTGCATTTTCATGATTACACAAACTGCATTTTTTACTGCATTGCTGATGTTAAGTGCATTGCTGATGTTAAGTGCATTTCTGATGTTAAGTGCATTTGTGTTAATGTCAGGGACCAATTAGTCCCCCGTGCAATTTGTCAGGGACCAAAACGACCCTCGAGGGAAATTGCTAGGGACCTAATTGATCCTCGTCTATTTAAGTCAGCAACACTTTGTGGCAATCTATATATGTTTTTGTGATACCTTTTTTTTGTGTCTGTGTGTAGGGGCTGATTCCAGCACTGCAAGAGGTGATGCCTGATGCATATCATCGTTTTTGTGTGCAGTATGTTTGGAAGAATTTCATAAAGCAATGGAAAGACAAGGCAATTTGAGCAATGGTTTGGGAGTGTTCAAGATGCACCACTGTCCCCCAGTTCCAGCAATGCATGGCACGGTTGAAAGTAAAGAATGAGGCTGCATGGAAGTACTTGGATGGCATCCAGCCCTCAAGTTGGGTGAAAGCTTATTTCAGCCACTGGCCGAAATGTGATAATATCACAAATAACATGGCAGAGGTATGGAATGCCAAGATCGTTGGATATAGGTCAAAACCGATTATCACTCTATTGGAGGAACTGAGATGCTACATTATGAGGAGGATGGCTGCACATCAGAGGGTGCTAGGAACTGTTCGGGGTAAAATAGCTCCTGCTCAGCAATTGAAACTAGATCAGTTAAAGGTTCTTAGCAATTCATGGACACCCACTTGGACTGGAAATCTGCAGCAAGATATGTATGAGGTCAGTGGGAAAGGTGATAGAGTTTGAGTCAATTTAACAACACATACATGTGCATGCAATGTATGGAAGTTGACTGGACTACCTTGTGAGCATGCTATAGCAGCAATTTGTCACAAAAGCGAGCATGCCGAGAACTATGTCCATCAATGGCTTACAGTTGATGCATTGCATGCCACATATGAGCACACCTTAAACCCAGTGAACTCGGACAAGTATTGGCCTGCATCTGATGAACCCAAACCTCTTCCACCAAAACTGAAAAGGCCAATTGGGCGTCCCAAGAAACACAGGAAGAAGGACCCAACTGAAGACCAAGGGAGCATGACAAAGAAAGTTAAAAGGACATATGAAGCCAAGTGTAGTAAGTGTGGTCAGACTGGACACTATGTCAAGAGTTGTAAGGGGCCACCAGCTTCCAAAACAGACAAGAGCCAAGCAAGACCACAATCTGTGAAGATTGGCACAGACTCAGTAAATGAAATCCCATTAAGTCAAGGAGGCTCGTCAGAAATTGGTAGTTCTCAGGCACAACAAGTCAACTTGAGAGGATGCAGCTCACCTCCTTCAAATCCAGAAGAAGCAAATGCAGTGTTGACTGAAGAGACAATAAAGGCAGCCAACACTGGCACACGAAGCAGATTTATGCACTTCATGACAACACCTGGTTTCATGCCACGAAGGCGATCCTCAAGAAAATGAGCTGCTGATGAAGAAGAACAAGGGAGTAGTGTATGAGCCAACTGAAAAGGAGTGGATATAATGCCTTTTTTTGTAAATTATGGCCTTTTTTTTGGAGGCCTTTTACAGATATAATGTAATCATTTTGATGCATGGCCAAGATTGTATTTATAGGCCTCACTTATGATTCCTATTAGTTGGCTTTTATTTGTAATGCACTATTGTTTTGTAGTTCTAGGAAGACAATTATTGTGGATACTGGTTATATTCTATACATGCATGTTAAGTGCCATTTATTTTGGTTGATGGCTGATGAATGATGCAGGGTTGATGCATGTTATTATGCACTACTGTTTTCCTGTTTTTTAATTTTTAATTTTCTGATCATCTGTTTTTCTTATCATCTGTTTAATTTATGATCATCTGTTTAATTTTGGACTGTTTTTTAATTCTGTCCTATATTTGGACATATTGGACAGCATCTGTAACTGAAATGTGTCTTCTATTTTGAACTTGTACTGGACAACATCTGTTTTGAAATGTGTCTATTTTGATCTGTTTGGGGACCAATAAGGGCTCCATGCATTTTGTTAGGGACCAAAATGGTCCTCGTGCAATTTGTCAGGGGCCAATATGGCAGTATTTATTTTGCCCTGGTGCACAACTATGGCCCTTTTAAATATGGAACTTCTATAACAGCAATTTCATGATTTATGCATCTATATCTGTACATGGCATATTCATTCCATGCATAACTATGCAATAAGTTAGGGACCATTAAGTCCACTGAGCATTTTGTAAGGGACCATAATGTGCCTCGAGTAACATTTCCAGGGACTTAAATGGCCCTCGTGTTTTGCAATCAATAACATTATGCATATCAGTATGCAACTTCTGTATGTGCAATTCATGAGTTATGCATCTCTATCAGTAGCAATCTAATTAGGCCATATGATAATACACACAAACAGATTGGAGCTAACACATAATTTGGATAACATAAAGAATGAGTACTCATTACAATTCACTGAAGGAAAAATACATTTGGGTCACTTGTTTTCACTTTTACCACACTAACAACAAACATACATATCATTATCACAACAACACAAGCACCTAAGACCCTAGCTGACCTATCAACTGTCCTAATTTTTTTGTCCATCCTATCTAACTCCTCCACCATCTTCAGGTATACATCATTCAGTTTTCTTTCCTGCTGATGAAGCTTCATTCCTTGCTCAGTAATCTTCACATCTTGCTCTCTCATCATCATCTCCGCATACTTCAACTTGAAGTTCATTTCAGCAACATCCAACTCCTCAGTGTGAATTCTTGCTTCTTCCAGTTCCATGGGTTCATTACACATGTCATCTACCCATCTAAAAAAATCACAATAGGGCTTCTTCTCCTGAAAAAAATAAACACCATGGTTAGCAAGTGTTCCAACTCAATAAAGGGGCAGATTACAAATTCGTACCTTGAAATTAGGACACCCAAGGAAAGCCCTGTTTAGGTTCCTCTCAGTTTTGGAGGTATAGACAATACTTTGTCTCCCAAATTTGCTCCTCCAACCAGTGGTCCTTGCCATTGTTCTTCCCCCCATTGATTTACTCCCACTTGACCCCCCATGCCAGAATAAACACTCATCTTCTCCCACGCCCAGAAATCTGGTTGATGGCTTAATGTCTTTCGTCGAGTTTCAATCATCAAAGTGCAAACATTCTGGGGGCGTTTTGCTGTTTACAGATTTGCTCATCAATTTGGGGGACGGAGTTTCCGGTTTAGGGTTCGATTGAAGGCATTTGGGTTTTTTTTCAATTTTAGGGTTCATTATTTGGGTTTTATCAATTAATTGGATTCAAGTAAAACGACGTCATGCTTTCCATGGAAAGCTTTGCAATCATTTTTATTCAAAACGTCGTCGTCCAGCTTTCCACTGTGTCCATCGTGGAGTCCGCGTCAGCAAATAACGTGCCACATGGGCACCGTTAGTTTGACCGTGACGAAGGAGTTGACAGAAGGACTAATGTGACCCTTTTTTTCATAACTTTAGGGACCAATTTGGTACTTTTATATTGTCAGGGACTAAAATGGATTTTGCTAATATTGCTAGGGACCAAAAAGGGTGGTTATTCATTAAAATAAGGTGACTGCAACCACCAAAAAAATAATAATAATAAGGTAATTGCATCTCTTCCTAAACTTTCTCTTCAAAAAATAAACACGTCTAATTTGACTAAACTATTAACATAAGTAGTTACTGTGAATTTACTTGATGATTTACTAAATTTGGATAATTTATAAAAAAAAATAAAAATTTGGATAAAATGAATTATTTAAAGCCAAAGAACTAGGTTTTGAAGCACTTAATTTTAAAGGTTTTGGTGTGATTCTCAATTTCTCACTACGAATAATACTCTTTTAATTAAAAAAGGTAAATTTAGCCGTCATTCCTTCTTTACTATATAAAAAGGAGCAGAATCCCCTTCTTCTTAATTTTTATTTATAAAATAGAGGAAGATATATTTATTATCTCTTACTACTAAATCTTAATCGTTGATTTTCGTCCATCTAACAGTTGTAACTTATGGGGTTATACTTATTAATTTATTATTAATTTCCAATAAATTATAACCGTTAGATTAACGAAAATCAACGATTAAAATTTAGTAATAAGAGATAATAAAAAAAATAAATAATAAGTATAACCTTTCTCTATAAAATATGTTATTCACTCTTAAAAATAAAGTATGACAAAAATAGTTATTAATAAAAGAAACAAAATAATATTTTAAATATGAACAAAAAAAAACATTTAAATAAGAAACAATTTATTATCTTTAGATTCAACACCATTTCGAATTTTCGACGTATATATAGTTTAAAAATTGAACATTTGCAAAACAGTATTCAGTATTCAACTCCCGCCAATGAAAGAGAATCAAACCCCAAACAAGGTCTTTGCACGCTCCGCAGATAATCGCAATGGCAGATTCAAGGATTTTCCATCCAAGAAGTCTATCAAGGCACAATACAATTCCTAAACCAAATTTCTCTCTGTTTCTTTTTTCCCTTTTTTTTTTTTTTTCAGATTCAATTTCTCTTATTCATTTTCTTCTCTTTCGCTAGATCGCAAACAAGAGCTTGAATGCAGCATTTACATCCGTTTCTGAAGATTCCGTGGATTTATCACCGATCTCTGAGATCTCAGACGTAAATCGCAGCGAAGATGTCACAGTAAGTACGAATCTGAGCATTTGTTTCTTCCGTTGTTATTTGCTGCCTTCAGTTCATATCGATACAAAACTGTAAAATGCTACCAAAAATGCGTCATAATTTTGTAATCGTGCTGTGCATTTATCTAATTAAAGCTACAGGAAAAGTTTCGATGTGCAAATCGTCTTTAATTATTTATGCGACAGACACAATTCTTAGATGCATTGATTTATCGTTGATATGTGTTTGATCTTTCAATGAAATTCTGGTAGTAATTAGCAATCAATTGGATGTATTAGGCATTTTGTACTATTTTGATTCCTAGAAAATAAATAAGCAAGGAATGTGGAGGCTTCGACTGATTCAAATTATTCATATCTGTTTCAGAGCTTCTTGTTGGAAGAACCTACCTCGTTGGATTTGCTTCCGTCTTATATAACTCCTCCTAAAAAGATCAGTGACACAACGGGAATTAGTTCCACTAATTGTTTTGGTACCAATGAGTTGGATAGTTCCAAGTTCGCTTCTGTGGAGGCTGAGATTGCTGTGAATTTTCTCAGAAATGTTAAACCTGAGCTCCTCAATTCGGTTAATGCTGCTCCCCAATATAGAAAGCTTATGGATGAAATAATTGAGTATGTCATACAAGATTTCCATACCAATACCCTGCCAGAAGAGGGAGACAACTTTGCTCAAGTTCTTTCAGAGAAAAATCGAATGCTGTTTCTATGTATCTTCATTTGGATCGTTGGGGTATCGGTTGTGATTTTCTTCACTTCAGATATTCATACTACTTACTGTGGACCTATGCCAACTTGAAGCATGGTTGTACGTTATGCTTTCTGACTATGGGAACAGAGGTAAAATCTCCAGTTATATTGTAAATATCTGTGTAACTGAAATTCTTGGACAATATGGACGAGATTTAGTATTTTTCTTAAATTTGAGATACTTTAAATTGCCCTGAACTTGTATATTCTTTCATTGAAGTTGTTATACATGTATGAATTCTTCGATGATGTGGTTGATTACTTCTGTTAGTAGGTGATGTGTATCAGGTACCTCATGTCCTGACAAAATAGTCTTAATTGCTTGTGTGTGGTTTGTGTTTATATATATTGGAGCAAATTGGCGTTTCAAACCACATTCTTAGAGTTAATACTTCAATGATTTATACCCTTCACTACCAGTTGCCAGCATGCATCTGCAACATGGAGCCATATGTCACAGATTCTGGTGACTCTGGGGGGGGTGCAATGATGCATAAATTATAAGGGTTTTGTTGGTTAAGTAAAGCTGCATGTGTTGTCGATGCATTTATGAGCAATGTCTTTTTTCTTTTATTTTCTTAATTAAAAAAATGACAATTCACAAAGAACAACTTGATCATTAACAGTTTTTTGTGTGTGTAGGTAACCAATTCCGGTTCATATGCTTGATCTCAAACTCTGGCAGCTGCTCAGACGGAGCTCATTTTTTAGCTATATAAAACCTTCACTCTAAAAACTCAGCAAATTTCTTATGCAAAGTATAACCTAGAAGTGCTTCTCTCTGGTCGTAGGATTTTATTTTCTTGTCAATTGGGCTTGTGATAGGACCTACATAATTTGTGAAGCTAACATAAATTTAATCGTGGATATTTTCGTCCAAAAAAGGTAAAAATGTGCCACCTACAACTATTTCTATTGAAGTCTGCTGCTAAGGATTTATGATTCAATATTTAGTAAATGAATGTGCCAAGTAATGAATCAACACCATCTAATATGGGCATTTCAATTTTTAGATGTTCATTTATAGCAGGTTTGTTATATGATAGGCGGTGGTGTGCTGCTTGAGCCTTGAAGGCGTAATCAGATTTGATTTCATCAAACATATTAGCATCCCATTTTTAACTATCAACAAGACCGGCCTACATGCCATTTTGAAAGGGTAATGGAAACTTGAACAATTTTGTTTGTAGAAATTGTTATCCGAATATAAATTTGAGAATGGCAATAAGAACATTCATAAATACCAATTCTATTTCTGCTTGTAAGACAAGGATATATTATAGTCCTGAAACTCGAATTCAACTTATCCCTGTAAATGTTCTGGACCTCTTGTGGTTGTTCAAACAATCATTTAAAATTCGTTCTTAGATAGCTGGGTTTTGGCACGAGTAGAAAGAGTCGGTGTTCTTCAATTGTGTTTGTGTATTTTTTCTTATATATAATGAAAAAATATATATAAAAAAGTCTGACAACACTTTTTTAATAATATATTAAAAAATATATAAAAAGGTCTGACAACACTTTTTTAATAATATATTATAGATGAAGAAGAATTCGTTTACAAAATTTTTTTTACAAATTTTTGTAAATTATATTATGTATTCATGAAAGAACATAGTGTAACCTAGTGTTTTTTCGAGAATAAATAATATAGTTTGTAAATAAAAAATTTGTAAATATAATTCTTCTAATTATATATACTTGTGGCAAATAATAGTGATATGAACAAACAGGGAGTTAGACCGTGGCCTGCCACTAGAATTTCATACTTGAAAAAAGTTAAAGTTTTGATGTAAACCATGGATGTACTTTTTAAGCCAGTGCATGTGAGAGTAGGACATTCAGAACTAGCTTTACTTAAAGCATGATTTGGTGTATCAGCAAAATTTACACTAAAACACTAGTATCTTAATATTTGGGTTTTAAAACCGGGGGACATCGAGAGTGTGTGTGTCTACTTTAACTGAATGTTTATGGTACTTTGCTAAAACCCTGGGAGACGAATGGATGTTATTTACCACTAGCTCGTGCTAGGATTATAATTATGCAGGAAAAGCAAATTTGATTCCCCAGCATCACATTGGATTTTGTGCAGTATACATGTTTTTAATGTTTTCATGCATGCCACCCATTATGACTGGGCAAAGTAGGTTAACAGTCTCAATCACTTGAGACAATAATGCAAGCTCAAATTAAATTTTAGAGAAGTATCATTTCCGTGGAAATTACTGTGCTGTTTGGTACGGAGATTATTTTAGAAATTTTGGAAAAGTGGGTAATTTTTTTTTGAACTTTTGGTACGAGGAAATTGAAAGTATTTTCGGAAAAAAAAATTTCATCATTTTAGTTTTAATTACATAATCTCAAATAAAAATACCATATGATACATAGTGATCGGTCCAATACAATAGAGGTAGGCCAATATGTATTGTAACATTTCGGGCGTTGACGAGGCCGGAGAGGGATCGCCGGTGGTAAAGGGCATGGACAAGGAACGGAACCTGGTAGGCTTCCAGCGACGGGGTACATGAATGAATCGAATCAACATCCGAAAGACAGAGATTCCAGAGACTGTGCTGATATGGGACGGTACAGTTGGGAATAGCTTATAAGAATTAATTGTTACTACCTATACTAACAAGATGCATATACTTTTCGGTAGTCCGAAACGGAAAAACTTCATAGTTAAGCGTGCTTGACTTGGGGCAATTCTAGGATGGGTGACCTCCTGATAAGTTTTCCCGAGAAGTGTGCAAGTGAGGACAAAGCATGCTGAAAAGTCTCGTGTTAGTGTGTGGGGACAGTCGTTGATCCTTGCAAGTTGCCAGATGTTACATGTATTGGGCCTAATCATACACAGTTGAAGAGTGAAGGCTTTGAGTTGGGTACTATGCTTTGTGGGCTGATGAAGGTTGCTATGCGATGAATTAGTGTTGAGCTCTCTTGGCGCGATGGTTTTGACTGAGGGGTATCTGCAATGATACTCTGATGTTCAAGTCAGTATCAAAGCTAGGCTTAGGTTATATTCTTACTGGATTTTGATTATATGGGTGTGTACCCTTTGTTTATATAGTGAGTCTGATGTCGCCTTTGGTAGGTGGTATGTCTTCTGATTGGTCATTTATGGGATGCAAGCTTATATGTTCTCAACTGGTGCCTTTCTAGCTATACATCTATATGTCAGGGTGCCATCTTAGAGTGGTGGCAAGTAGAAGTTGTCTTTAGTGTATTGGTTTATGGCCCGGTGGACCTTTGTCTATTTATAGAGTCCTTCTTTATCTTTCACGTCATATAAGGTTAGTTTAGGCGCAATGAAGTCATTGTGCCTTCTGGTCCTTTGCGTGATGGCGACATTGCGCATTTCATGGGTCCTATATGTACTTGAGCCTATTTTTTGGACTTTAACCCTCTATGGGCTTATTGTAGTTTATCTAGATCACATAGTATTTTTACTTTTTCATAGCATCAGTATAATTAACATAATATTTCCAGAAAAATTTTGAACCTACTAAACACTTTTTTGTAACTTACCTGAGAAAAAGAACTTCTCATCATATTCCCTAAAATCATTTTTTTCTATAAATAGAAATATCTCCTCTACCAAACGTCTCCGTAATTTTTGTGTTCACATAAAATTGAGATTTATTCCATTGGTTGTTCAAATATACCTTGTCATTTTTTTTAAAAAAAAAATTGTTTACAAGCATGCCTTATCTGAAAAAAGCTTAATGCGTAAGCACATTTTAATTTAGGATTTTAATTTTTTTCATGCAGTTAATTTTTTTTTTAAAGTTATAGAAATATTTTGTGTGGGTCTACATTTATTAAAAAAACAAGAGAAGTATTGCACTGAAGCCCAGATACTAGTGGTTTGCATGCCAAGCAGTCAACAATCATGGTGTTTAACATTTTTGACTCGTGACATTATGACATTATATATTAAAGGTCGTTTGGATGAGTTTTTTTAAAAAAAAAGGACTTTTCATTTTAAGTTTGTTTGAATGTTTATTTAAAAAAAAAAAAAACAGAAGTTATAAAAAAAGTCAAAAATCTACTTTTTTTAGAAGTTAAAAATTTTAAATTCTAAAAAAATTAGAAGTCAAAAATCAATTTTTTTTTTTCAAAAATTAAATATTTTTATAAAAATATAAATAACTTTAACTTTTGTAAAAAATACTTCTATAATAAAGAAGAGATAAAAGATACTTTTTCTAGAAGCCCAAACAAACGAGCTATGTTGCATTACTTATTTGAGGACCGCTTTAAGTCGATGAGATTAGAAATGGAACCAACTAGAACAACCATTAATGATGTATTTATAGTTGACCAATTGCACAATGATCATTAATTCAAGAAGTTTGGAGAAAAACATAATTATGACTCAATAAGTATGATCCATATGTTCAAAAAAGCAACAATTTAAAATATAAAAAATTACAATCAAATTCAAGTCCAAATAAAGGGACAGATATGGTTGTGATTTATTTAACAAGAAAAGAAAAGCAACAAATTTGGTATGAATTGAGATCTAAGATTTATAATGTGTTTTGAAAGATTTAATTGTAATTATTTTTTTTAGAAGGTAGTTATCGTTATATTTATTTATAGAAATTTGAATTTTAAATTTTAAATTAATTTGTAATTTGTCTATAAAAGGATGCTTAAGACCCTTATTATAAGAATTGAATTTTGTTATTTGTTAATAGAAATTGAGAATCGGGGGTTACTATTTTTTTTTAAATCCTAACTTTTTATTTAGTAGTTTTTCTATGTGATTTGGGCATTATTTGCTATCAGAGCACTAGGTTGCCTTCAACCAATGGCCAATTTGAAATATAAAAAATTACAATCAAATTCAAGTCCAAATGAAGCAGCAGATATGATTGCGATTTTTTTGACAAAAAAGAAGAAGAAAGTAACAAATTTGGCATGATTTGATATTTAAGATTTGGAACGTGTTTTGAATCAATGTTATAAAAATCGGATCGACCCGAAAATCGGTGAACCGGTCATGTAATCGGTCCGATTTTCATATTGGACCGGCCATGT